TATTTTTCATCCACTGACCGTGTAGTATTTATTTTGAAATACAGTAGCAGTAAGTATAAAATAAACACCCGTATTGCGAAAGTTGAGCTGTTTTCCACTCGCACGATTTGGTCGATTTGGATGCGTAGCGCAAGCGCACACGAGTGGATAACGTCCAGCGTCGGCTGCCGGGTATTTCCTGTATGTTCTGTTTCCGGCAATAATATCATAGATTCAGATTGTCAGCTGTGGCATGGAATACCAAGATCAGATGGCAAATCAGGCTCGGTTGTTATGTCAACCAGCGAACACATAACAAAATAGAAGCGCTACTCGGAGCGCAGGAGCGTGGCAGTCTGACTAGCCGACGAAACGGACAAAGATGGCGGCGCTAGCCTAGTCCCGGCGTCAGCAACGCGCTGGTCGTCTGCTATGCTTCGAGTCAGTGTTGTTTACATAGGCTTTGTTTGAATGTAAAAATACTTTTGTATAAAAATTACTTAGGTTTTTCTGGAAGTACATTGTCGTATTAGTATATTGTTGGAAATGTCTTAAAGTAAATCGATTGTTTTTACCGTAGTAAATCGATTTTTTTTATCGCGGGAGAAATTTTTGTTTACAAATATATATCTGTTTAAAAAACATCTTTGTTCACATTATAAATCTGTCATATTAGTGTTATTTTATTTCTTGTGTCACGACAAACACGATGGCATTTTGAACGACATTTTTAGCGTCTTATTAACGATGTTAGCATACGTTTTAAAAATAAACATCACCATAAAGACTATTGTGAGTAAAAATTTTAAAATGCATGGAACTGTTAACAATAAACCTACCAATAAGCCATAACAATTTCACAAATATTGGCTGAGTAGTTTGTTTACAATTAAATTTTAAACTTCAGTGTTAGTGCAGAGTTTCTTAAAAATCGGTACTTTTTAGGATCTTTCAAATATATAAATTTTTCTAGTAAACGGAATTTTTTTAATTTTTACCACGTAAAATGTATTTAAACCAGATTATATTTAATTTTTGTCTCAACAAAATCTGATAGTTCATCTCAAGAGATATTTAGGCTCAAACTCGAGTGCACATATTTATTTCCCCAACAGTAGTCCCGGCGTGTGCAGCGCGCTAGTCGTCTGCTATGCTTGATGAGAATAGTGTAGATATAAAGTTAACGATATTAGTGTAAAGGAAAACAATGTAATTGAGGACTTAACGAACAAAGTACTTGGACAATGTGTAGGTGTAAATTTGTTTCCAAATATTACACATTTCTCAGGATATGAAACAATATGGACAAAAATCATTTTTGTTTCGTACCTAATTAAAATTATTGCTAAAAAATATTCCAATGTTAGAGTTTGCTACTACTGTAAAATAAGTAACGAAAGTCTTCACAAAAATAAAATCAGGCAACATCTCAATAAAACTGTAATTTTTCTGGGGCAATAAATTGAGTGTAATTTTACAAATATATTTGGGAAGTTTAATTTAACTTACAGAATTATCTTTAGTTTATCTTGGATGATATTGAAAGCTAATTAGTCCTTAAAAAGTTGTGCTAAACGGTTGAAAATTTTACATAGACAATATATTTGAAAATGTCATTAATATATACAATATTACAGTACAACAGTATAAATTATTAAAACACTGCACGCTAAATGTATAGAAGACGGCCGGCGGTGCAGCGGCGTGGCGCGGAGCAGCGGCAATGGATCCCTTTTGTACCTGATTTTTTAGAAAACCGAACATGATAAAAAATTTTGGTGAATCGTATAGTTAAATTTGGTTATTTATCCACAACTTTCCCGCTGACGAAATTTCTCTGACCAAAAAATAAAAAATTTCCTCGCAATACAACTTTTTCATGTCTGAATTTGAAAAATTAAACTACATAAGTATTAAACATATTTATAACTCAATTACTATCATAACTAATAATTTTATATTAACACCATCGTTTTTCTCAGTATCATATCTACAAGTGTGCAAAATTTCAGAATTTTTTGTCAACTATTAATGTTGTTTATGATCGTGTATTTGTTGCGGGGTTTTTAATGCGAACTGAGCTCGTGGGTCTTGGATTCAGGCTGTATGACGGACCAAGATGGCGGATTTGGCCACACTTTCAGTGCATTTGGTTAAACGCCGTGTCCTCTCTATTATTATTATTATTATGTGCTCGCTGATGTCAACGATGGAACGAATAAGGCTTCAGGCTTATCGTTGACAAACAACAATCAGGCAGGGCTGACTGCTAGAATGGCAAGGCTGTTTATTATCGTGTTGGGCAGTACATCTATGGTGTCAGTTATCTTTCAAACTAAGCAAATACAATTTTTACCGATTCCACACATCTACGAGTGTTTGATGCTTGTGGCATGATTTAAACTTTCAAAATGTACAATGTACAACCTATTTTATCGAAAAAATTTATTTTAGAAGAAATCAAATTTGCTTTCGGAAACTTTTAATGAACAAGATAATATATGGAAGTCATTAAACTTGGTGATGTTGGATAATAGTGGGATTTTCCTCCTTCATAGCACGATGTACTACTACGTTTGTTTTGCGGAATGTGATAAAACTCAATTCTCTTTGTTTTGACTGATAAGGTTTTTGATAATCTTCTACTTACTATTACTACATATTGGTGTAGCAAAGGACGTAGGCCTAACGTATTCAACTGATAAATTAACTCCCAATCTATGGAGAAAAGCAATCTGAGAAAATGCCACAGTAAAATGTGTCCAGGGAATCGGACTGGTAAATAATTTTCTTCCAGAAAAAGAATTGCATTTACAGTATATTATTTTCTTAGTTTTCGCCTAGTATTATTTGCTTTCACATACAATTCTTCAGTGTCCGTTAAATATTAGCGTTTACATATCACAGACGTATTGTTTTGTTTATCTTTCTGCGTCCTATTTTTATTCGTGTTTGCAACGTAGGGAGAATTAAAAAGAAACATTGTGTAATACGCGACGCGAGCTCATCACACGTACTTTCCAAAGTCACTACACTAGGTACTCTACCACTACGGAGCGCCGCAGACGATCGTTGGAACCGCATAATGTCTCCTGCACATTAGCACCGACGTCACGGTAATCACCAATAACGAGGTTTAACGACCTGATAATTGCGGGGTCACTTGCGACATACGTTACCATTGATTATAAACCAGCGTTTATCAGTGCCTCAATCGTGTTGAAAACAATTGCTGTAATGTAGGTCTACTATGTAACTATGTAGGTGAACTACATTACATTGTAGGGTTGGCCTTACTTTCAGCCGATTTGGAGGGTGTAGTAATATATCTAAAATAGTTTTTTGTCTTAGATGTAAAAAGTATGGAAATAGTTTATCTTACCCCTACCTTTGTGTTGATAAATATGTAGCCGTAGCATATAGATATTTGCATCTCTCATTCCCTCAAACTACTTCTCCAGAAACACTTTTCATCCTCTTTATTGTAATTTGCTTGACATTTTTTTGTGCTAAGATAAAAAAGGTTTTTTGAGTTTTTTTTCCTTTCACCTTTTATCTCCATGATGCTGTTAAAAACATATTTCACAAATTATGTTAAAATAGCCACCAAGCCACCACACGTGATACAAAGTTGTGTACCAGATAACCTCACCACACTGTTATCTTCAACCCCTAAAACTCCAGCATTTATGTCCTAAGGTTGTTTTGGTAAATCCATGGGCAAAGACAATATAATACTTTGAGGTTTATTCCATTGTCTGTGTTATGGGCTTGAATTACTACCTGCCGTATTTTGTATAACTTATCCATCTAGGTACCTATCTCATTACAAAACTTCATGGTCAATTATTGGTTAAATGAATGAATGAATGAGTTAATGTATTTATATACCTCATCAATTACCTTTTTTGTTTTTGTTGCCTTGAAGTTCTTGTTGATTTTTGATACTTGATGCGCATTTCGCCACAGGTTGTGGCATCTTTAGAGTTCACTATCCTACACTTACATTCTAATATATACACAGTTTATATACACGAGAGTCACTGTACCGGTTCACATCGTAGCGTTTACACTCGCGGTGCGGCGGGCGTGTGTTGCGAGCGCGGGGTGTTTACCTCATCAGTAAAGTACCTCATCAATAAAGCTATTTATTCTTTCAATGAGTTAGGCCTATAAAGTAATGCCAATTTTTACATTGTTAATTCTAAGAAACCTTTGTTTGTAATTTGTCAACACCTGTATTTTACACTATGTATTCTGTGCTACAAACAAATAAAGATTATTTGAATTTAAGTTCCTAAATTTGGTTTATTCTTAACCTAGTTTGATGAGTATGCCTACCTATCTCCTTGCTGCAGTTTCATTGACGTGCACTGCAGTCGTTATCTCAATAAATGCATGCCAACCTAGATGTAGTGTAGTGGCTTGGCTATGTACTGTACTAAGAATGCCCATACTTATTCATGGAGGTATTGAATCTCTTTTGCCAGAGAGTTGTCTGTGCAGAGGTCCCAATATTTGGCTCAATGTTTATGATGGACAAACTGGAAAATGCTTAAAGGGGTTTTGGAAAAACTTCCCTGAACTAATGTTCAGATTCAACATTAGTTTTATCTTTTCAGGCCATCATATTATGATTAAAATATATAGGCCTACATGTAATATAGTTTTTTATGACATGTTGAAGACAGTTCCTGAAAAGTGTGCAGATACTTTGATTATATTTCATGATCACGGCATGTCCAATCTCCTAACTAACTGTATTTAAAGTAACACATGATTGTGATAATAATTATTTAGAATGTTTTTTTGTCAAAACAAAAACGGTAGGTCAATGTATGTTTACAGTTTTACAAGTAAGTCATGTTATTCTTTTTAAGTTTAATAAAGTTTGATTTTTATGTGATTCAATGCATTTTCATACAAAACAATGTTAGACACACCGGCATTGTACATATTCATTATACATAAAACAATTTTATACCATTACAAATTTGAATATAACATGCTTTTTCCTTCAGTTGGTTCTGCTTATGATGAGAACACAATCGAGGAGGCAAAGAAGAAAGTCTCGGAGGGACTGGATATGCTACCAGACAATGTGAAGGAAATCATTCCCAAAGGTTTAGACCCTGACAAAATACCTTCTATCGAGGAAGGAGAAGATTTGCTCAAGGAAAGATGTTTACGCTATGGAACAAATACATCGTTCGATCAAGCTATGGTGAGCTATTTTTATTATGCTAATGCATTATAATCTAAGATTTTCTAGTTATTGGTGTAATAGACAGGTAAAAAAAATAAAATTGGTTTCCTTTTGTGTGACTCAATTTTCCTTTTTTATGACGTTTTAATAAGCACCGTTATGAGTTGTTAATTTCTTGGAAATTAATTGTATTTATTGAAAATGATACTGGTAATAGCGGTTTGAAAAAAGGAACCATATTATTCTACTGCTAGATGATAAACAATTGCTTTTATAAGATCAATGAGATTACGTTGTGTTTTAAATAAAAATAAATAATGAAATGACAATATCTATTTTGGTTGAAATGTTCTTCTATTGTATTATTATTTTTAAGCTGTACATAAGCTGAGCTCGATTTGTAAAAAAAATGAGATGCTGGAACTATAACCTATTTAATGTGATTTGTAACTATTTATGGACCTATTTATGCTAATAAATATTTTTATCTTCCCGAAAGAGAGGTACCGGAATTCCATTCCGCTATGTTCCCCGCAAATCGAGCACTGTACATAAGCACATAATTCTAAAAATACTAGACAAAAGTGTGCTGCTGGTTATTTTGATAAAAAAACTGTTCTTTTTAAGTAATTTGTTTTACTGTTGTCTGTGAGTTTTTCTTATATTGGGAGTGGAGTGGTACTATGTTTTATTGAGCGAAGCACTTATACATTAACTCTTGCGGATTTTGTCATGTAGGCCTACATAGATGGCTTAAGTAATTATTTTCAAATTTCGCTTGGTGAAAAGACCATTTTTATCGGAGAGTGCTTACATCTATAAGGCGTTAAAAAAACCTCCCAGGAATCCACCCCACGGATTCTCAAAATTTCAATGTAATCCTTATGAAGGCAGTATTTGCCACAAGATCAGCACTTGACTTTAAATGCAGTACGTCAGGAAACAGCTGATAGAATAATGTTGTAACTAATAATCTTAGATTATTATGTTTCAAGCAAACCTGAATTTCAGTATGGAATAGCTGCTCATTTCATATCATCTCTCATATATTTTTGACCAATTGGCAAATGGGTTATTCACAATCTACCTCCCTGTGGGAAATGGGAGGGAAACAGCAGCTGTGATTATGCTGATAATGCAACAATGCTTGGATCTTAAATCTGATGGAGAATCTTGGCGTGGAATTAAATTATCTACAAATTTTGACATTTTGTATTTAACGTCCTTTTCTATCTCAAACGTTTTTTTAGTGTATACTCAGTTTATAGACATAACTGTGAAAACTGACTGTTTCCTCATGTTTGCCTCTTAAAACAAGGCAGTTTTCATTTAACCACTATTACCAAACTTTCTATTTAATAAAAAAAACAGAATATTTTATTTAATAAAAACACTAGGCCTATACAACAAAAAGCGGTTTACAACATATTGTACAAATTAATGCTTGAAGTACACAATTTATTACATTTTAGTAGTTATTGCTCATGCTATTACTTTTAATACTTTTTTCATACTTATAGGTACTTTTGAAATACGTACCGAATAAAACCCGTAACCTCGAACAAACATTCTAAAATTTCTATTCGAAAATTCTATTTTAGTATTAGTGGCTACCAGCCAAACTGTTGTAAAATAGTGATAGTTTTTGTTAAATGTTAATACAGTACAGGGACAAATTAACTACCTACAGCAAACCTGCGTACTCAACCAATTCCCAATAGATTTTGACCAAGATACAGGCCATAACAGCTGATCTGATGTTTTGTTTAGATTTTTGCTCATGCCAAAACAAACTATTCTATTTATCTATCTTCGCAATGATGTGGTGCGTCCTCTTCCTACAGTCTCTTCAAAAACTTCTAACAACGTGCTATAGCTTGACGAGATTAACTTCTCAGAACTCCCTGCTATGAACTCAGGTCAAAAATTGAAATGTAATATTGGTAGCCAAAGATATATTATAAATAAGGGAAACAAAAACCAACAGTAATATAAAATCAGGAGCATGTCGAGACAGTAACATTTCCTTCACTATGGCCTGATCATCAGGAAAACCCACAAATCAGATAAATCTGAATTTAACTACACAGGCTACCATTGCTATTGATTTCCAGTCAATCGTCCTAAGAAATGTCTGACAAAGACTTACCTCTCATCCAATACGTTATCCCACCAACAATCACAGTAATGGTGCAATATCCCATCTCCTATGTCCATTTAATTCATTCTTATTAGACAAAAAATAAATAAAAAAGGTCATCAGCGGGTTCATAGTAGTACTGTAATTTGGATGAAACACAAAGCTTTTTCGGGCAAAACTGACGGTTACCAGGTAGTATACACTTGTAATATAATATTAGGATTGAAATGTAATTCTTTTAGTGGGGTTTAACTACAATCCATAGGCCTATAAATGTTAACCGTATCTAATAGTTTATTCATCTAGTTGAGCTTACGTTTTATAAATTTATCTATGCATTCAAGCCTATGTGGGAAAATTAAAGCTAAAAAAAGCTAATGGCCATTTATTGGTAAATTTATCTGCTTGAAAATCAAAACATTTACTATTAGTTTTACATGTGGACTGATTTTAGTGAATTGTTTATTTAAATGTTAAATGCAAATACAGGTGTTAGCTACAATGGACAAGCGAGGGTTATAAGGAAAGAATAAGAACGCCAGAACGAAAGAGGAAGTTGTTTTAATTGGAAAAATACACACAATACTTCTGCTGAATTTGAGTATTACAACGACTCATTGTTATTGTCAGGACACGGTAGTACAAAGATCTGGTAAATATGATCCTGTGAGGAGTGTTGCTGTATTACGTTGTGGAACATTGCACAAGATGACTAAAATTTTCAAATTAAAACAAAGTATAGGTATTTTCCAAGGAGGATACAATAATCTTGCTATATAATACTACATATACTATTATCACCTTACTAATATTATAAATATGAAAGTTTGTGTGTTTGATTGCAAGTTTGTTAGTTTATTTGTTTGGGGCTCAATCACACATTAACATGTAGGATTATTCTTATTTATAAAAACCATTTGGGCTCCGCCCCAGAGGCTCTGAAGTTTTCCCATGTTCACTTTTTGGGTACCGGTATCCATATTTAAAAAAAATCAAAGAACCTTGACACCTCTGTTTCAACTAAACAAGTAAGCTAGGTTCTATGATATTCAATAGCATTAGCCTTTCATTGGTGACACAGGGGAGTTATCCTCCAGGTGCATTTGTTTTTATTGAAAAACGAGCTGTTGGCCCGTCCTACGTACGGGAATCGAGTAGTCAATTAAAACGGAATAGTTCAGAACATCTAGTTTACACGCACAGTGACACATTCTGGCAGTTTTAATGGGGGCCAACTGCCCCCAAAACAACCTAATTAACAATTAATTGTTATTTTTTAGTTGTTGACCTTATTAACAAATGTCACATGACTACCTATTTGTTCTATCCGATTATAGACCTAAAATATAGCGATATGCATTTTAAATTCGATAATTTTACAATAAAATAGCAGTTGCATCGATTTGAAAAACCTTGAAGTGAGATTGGAGACCGATTCACACACACTGGTATTGAGTAGAGTTGCTACAATTGCATATACCACTTATATATGTACTTACCGCACCTTTACCTCCGTGACCACAGACTATGACACCTTATGAGGATTCTGGCCACCCATTCTCTTCCATCCCCTGTCTCTTCTAATTTAGATCCCGGTCTGAGGATGTATTTCATAACTTGGTCTTTCCACTTAATTCTTGGTCTTCCAAGTGGTCTTTTATCTTGTGGTACTATGGAATATACTTTTAAAAGTTGATTTATCTCCTATCCATCACGCACAGCCTGCCCATCTAAGCCTTTTACTTCTGGAAAGCACCCCTATATCTGGGTGTTTACACATTTCTCTTAGCTCTCTGTTTGTTTTTATCTCGACCTCCGTTATCTTGAACTGGTCTGTATATTTTGTCTGCACTTTATTTTCTAACCCAGCATTAAGGTTTTTCGGTTCTTTGGTCAGTGCCCACGTTTCTGAATCATACAATACTACGGGGAGAGTTATGGTACGGTATGAGTCGACTTTGGTTTCTACTGCACCTTGCAGCTCATTGGATAGTTTTATAGAGACCTACTACACCAATTGACGCTTTCATTACTAACCAAAATTATAGTATGACTCACATACATTCGGACATACAGAAAAAGAAGTATCAACACGTAAACCACTTACATCTTAAACAATTACGGTAAGCAATAAATTTCTGAAAGAGATTTTCCAAATATGAGATGAAATTTCCATGGCATAAACTAAATAACTTACACAGTTTGCATTTACGACAAAACTTGATTAAACTGTTTGAGATGTATAGATCAAAATAACACATTTCCTGATAAAGCAGATCCTTCACGGTAGAAAAAAAAACTAAATTTTAAAGTGAAATAGTATGCAGGCCAACACCGAAGAACAATATTTTTGTATACAAACAACTTGTAACATAAACATTTCAATGACAGTTTATAACCAGCTGTTAGTTTAACCAGCACTGAAAATACTTTGAATTGCTAGCGTCGGCTGCTAGGCTTTTTAAAAATTTAAACTTAATTTCTAAAAAATTGAAACCCTAAACTAAAATTATGGCTTCGACATCCCTTAGTTCTCAAAATTTTCTTTCTTTCAACACAAAAATCATGAAAATCGGTCAAGTGGTTGATTCAGAATCGTGAAATAAAAAAACCTTGTTTCGTTTTAATATTATAGATATGTTTTATAGCTTGCCGGCAGTTTTAGGAGCAACGGTACCTCACGTGCATCTTTCTAGGAATCGATTGAACATTAATTTGTTCTCACACCTCGGGGCCAAACCCGTTTTAATCGGCTGAAGCCTGGCCAATTTAATTTTTTCAATTTAAATAGCTAAAAAAATGGCTAATGATATGAAAAAGTGTCTATGTATGTACAGTTAAAACTTTTTTATTTACAACACTTAAAACTAGGATATTGTATAATTTATTTATGAAATATATATCACAAGTAACAAATAATTGGACATCAATTCTGATTCATCTACAATAGACTCCCTCTCATCCAAACACCTTTTAACCGGACATCGGTTTAACCGGACTACACTCGGTGTAAATTACATCTCTTTAACCGGACGATTTTTATCAGCACATTGGTTTAACCGGACTAGATCGGCAGGAAGTGGGCAGTACTGAAACGACTGTTCTCGTGGGAAAGATGGCCTCAGTCCCGAGGCGTCCGGATAAGAGGGAGTCTACTGTACTACCAATCAAAAAGCCTTTAATTTTACTAAAAATTCTGTATTGTTTTGTTTGTAGTGGCTAACACTAGTGCTAATCCTCATAGTTTGTTGCTGAGGGTTCTGACTCAAGGTCGAATGATAAGCTGAGTCAGCTGATTTGTGGCCACATGATATGCTGAGTCAGCTGATTAAGGTGTCCTGAGTCATGTCGTTAATGAAACAATACCTTCCCTGCTGCCTGCATCTCATTTAGTAGGCATATGCCATGTGCAAGAAAGACTAATATTAGCTAATATGATTCCTCCTCCATATCCTTATTGATTGCTAATCCAGAATTTCAATTACAAATTTGTCATAAGTGAGAATTTAATGTACAAGCATAGGCATCTTAACAAATCTAACTAGTAGTATAATCTTCAATAATAGTATAAAATATTGTCTACACCTTCAGTATTATTATCTTTAAATTGCTTATCATTGTTGTCATTGTGTATAAAAAAAACAAGCCAATTACACTCAAATTTATTTGTCCCGGGCACAAAATGTATTGCTATAAAAAATAAAAGACCTAGCCAAAAAGAATCATGAGGAACTTCTTGATTATAGTAAAACCTAACAGCAAAATGTTTGAAGCACTTGTGTAATCCCCATCATTGTCTTTGCTAATTTCCTTTTCACAATAGTCAAATTAATTGGATAAGTGCAGCAAGACTTGGCATTTCTAATGGTCTTTGTTGTTGAACAATGTTATCAAGCTTCAGTGTTCCATGAATAAGAAATAATCATTTTCAGATGATTATTCTCTATCTTAAAAATAATCTTATATTGAGTTTTGATTTTGAAAAGTAAATAAGAAAAACATTAGGAATAAAATTGCCTACTAAAACAATTTAGAATATTACTACAAGTTTGTAATTGTGAAAAAATTTATGTATCTATAAAAATGTGGAAATTCGTTTATAAGAGTTCAGCATGATTATTAAACTAATATTTTTTCCATGAAAATATATATCATGAAACAGTATCAATAAAAAAATAATTTTCTCTTGTAAATTGTGTGTTTTAGTTTAAAATGTACTAAAAGTACTTTGATTGTGCCTTTAATTTACCTTTTTTACTTGTATGTTGTTACTATTCAAAAGTTAAAAACAAACAAAAAGCAATGGGACAGAGAGACTTTTAGTTCCCACATAGTGACACTGACTCGGCTTACAGTGTTCAGTGTTATCAAACCAAATAACATTGTATGAAAAATGTGCTGCAGCTATAACATTATGTGTGTGTGTGGAATAAATTTGTATTATGCTATGAAAATGAAAGAATAATATATATTTATATATATATATTAGAAAAATCTTTGTTGTTTCAATATTACATAGAACTGTACAATTCAGAAATATTACAGTACACGAAACAATAATAGAATAATAGAATAAACATATTTTCATTTCTGTAAATGAATACGCTACATATGAAAGATACGCTAATGAAGTTTCTGTTATTAAAATATTCAAAATTTATACTTTCATTTTTTAGTAAATTACCAAAGTGCCGCCCCATAAATTTTGCCGCTCTAAGCTGCAGCATTTTCAGCCTATTTAGAAATCTGGCCCTTGGCCTTTTCTTAGTTTAGGCTACACACTGTGAAAGCAGTAGATTTATTTGTTGGCATTAGCCATAACTGATACTCTTTAAAGGTACCAACTTCATTTAAGGTCGCTGCTATACTTCAGTCTTGATTATTTGATCTTCGCATACCCTTTCCACGATTGAACACTGGAGTATTGTGCTACTGTATTTCCTTTTGTCATGACTTAACACTGTAGCAGGTATATCTTGGGCCTCCTGGACTCAACTCTGAAGATTTGTCATGCTTTAGATACTTGAATCAATTCAATTCATCAAGTTCCTATACCTGCCCACCTTGGGTCGCCGGAATTTTATCCCCCTGGAATTTTACCCCCTGGGCAAAGCTGACGTCACTATGACGTAGTAAACTGAGTGGCCAAAAGTTTGTTCATGGCCGGAATTTTACCCCTGCGGATTTGGAAGTCTAATGAAAATAGCCAGAGCGTGATTAATTAGATTAGTGATAAAAACCGGAATTTTACCCCCGTCCATATATCTAGCGTTTAGACAACTGAAGTTGTACAGGCCAGATTTTTACCCCCAGAATTTTACCCCCGGATTTTTACCCCCCCCCCCCCCCCCCGAATTTTATCCCCGGATTTTTACCCACCGGAATTTTACCCCCTAGCCGATTAAAAAAATTGTATGATTGATTTTCTTTTTTCTGTTTTTAATTAATTGTAAACATTTCATTATTTAGTAGCCTATCTTTATTCATTTATTTTGTAAACAAATGTTCGAAACAATTTTATCATTCAGTTGATTGTTTATACGTCATATTAACCAACTGTTGGCTTCAAAGATATCAAATCCTAATACTAGAATCTCAAAATTAAAATTAAAAACTTGTTCTATTAGTTAATGTTGCAAATAAATTAATATAGGCTACTTAATAATAAAATGTTTACTATTAAATTAAAACAGAATGAAGATAATTAATCATTCTCGCTAATTTATATATCTGGCCAGGGGGTAAAATCCGGGGGTAAAAATCCGGGCCGTACACTGTAGGTTTTTATAATTTGATGTGTTCTGATAAAATCCACAACCGTGAAAATATATGTTTAATTCCGTGTTTAATCCATCGAGCTGATGTCGCGAAACTCAAAAGTTCGCGGTCGGAATTTTACCCCCTGGTTTGTGACGTCACGTTTGCCCACGGGGTAAAATTCCAGGGGGATAAAAATCCGCTACCCTCCACCTTTCTTTTACTTCTCATGTCTTGGTGTAATCGAGTACAAAATTTACTGTCAATGTTGTATGTAATGTATTTTATTTTTGCAACAAATATTTTTAATGCTTTTAACTGCATTATGTCTGTCCCTGTTACAATAATCACGATGATAATTCGTAGCTAACATGACTTACTGTTTTTTTTTTCTATTTTAATTTCCACTTGCACTATCACTACAATTTGTTCCCCTCTAATTTTACATCTTCTCACAGGCTGCCAAAGAAGATTTACAATTTTGCCTACGTGGACTGGTGAACACCACAGTAATCAAGAAAGAGATAGAACTAGCTAAACCTACTGGAGACCTGGACATCGTCTTCAGAAAGTACTGCAGGTTAGCATTCAGATAATATTAACTTCTGGAAAAAAAGTCTTAGTTCCCAACAAAAAATTATTTATTAAAATTTATAAATTTATTTATTAAGATCTTAATAAATAATTTTTACTTGGGTACTAAGTTTATCAATTTTTAATTTTCCTTTTCCTGTATATACCGTAGCCCTATTATTCTATTTTTCATATTTATATATATGCATCTGTTAGAGTGATAACTCGAGCAAAAATGTTCCGGTTTTGATGAAATTTGGTACAAACATGTAAACCTACATCTATTCAAACGAGTTCGGGAACCAGCATAATCGGACTATGGGAACGGGGATTTATGGAGTAAAAATTTATTTTCCCCCATTTTTGACCCTAAAAACACAAAATTTCATAATTTCTCTCCAAACCATTTTGTAGAGCTTAAAAAAAGAAATAATTTTGTACAGTCAAGCCAGTTGTATGCCCCACGGTCACGGAGATAATTAAAAAATTGTAAATTTACAATTCCTATGTTATTCTTATGGAGAATAAATTAATAAACATTTGCAGTTTGCTTGTTTATGGATATATTTAAACCAAATTTGGAAATTTTGTTTATTTACTACTAATCTATCGAAATTGCAATAAAAAGACACATCTCATTATCTTCCCTGTAGCAGCAAACCTAAGTACTCACTAAAATTAATTGTAATTTTGATTGATTGAATTTTGAATTGATTGTAACTTTTTTTTTTGTAATTTTAATTGTAATTTACAAGTAATTTTGAGCAATATATTATATTCAAGACTTGATTTCAATGTTGGCAGAAAGTCTCCTATGCTGAGGAACTGTGTGACCAACTTCACGGAAGCAATAGAGCCTTGCCTGAGTCCTGAGGAGCTCGGCACCAAACAGACCATTACTAACATCACAGACGCTCTCATCAGCTTTATCTGCTTCAAGGAGGGTGACCGGATAGCACGTACGTATCAAGAGAACAATCAATGATGTGAGGGCAATTATTGTCACTACCATCGGAATAGTACCAATACCAGGGTTGACTTTAAAATATCATGTACTAAGAACCTACCGGGACCTGGCCTATTGGCCGCTATGAGCTGCAGCATCAGGGCAATTGTGTTGAATGTAAATTCCTCGTAAGGTGTCAGGTTATTTTATTGTTATCTTACTTGGCCTACGTTAATAGTTGATACGAACCAACTCAAACTACTGAAACATTCAAAAAGCGATTTTGGCAACATCCTGACTAACTGTTGGGATCACACAACAACATTGTATTCATTTCCTGTGATTACTGTTTTCTTAATTTCTGAATACTTCTTGTATGATGCCAATTTAAATAAATAAATGAGCTATTAAGAAAAATTCATCTTACACTATCTGTGCTCGTCCTTACTTTTGGAAGTTTTAGTTTTTTTTTTTTTTTTTTTTTTTTTTTTTTTTATTACAGTAGAACTTATCTTATTTAACTTCAGAAGAACTGGCTCCTCTCTAAGTCTAACCACATAATAATAGCCTTTTGTTAAACAAAACTCAGAATTCTGCACCTTTCATACTTAACTTTTTATGACCGTAATAGGTTGAGCTGTATACTGTAAGTTGTACATTTGTGTGGATAGTTTGGTTTGTGACAGTGATTAAATCGACCTAGTTTATTTTCCATCAATGTTTTGAAGATTTTGCCTAGCTTTTACTCATGCATTTTCCTACTTGTCGTATATTGTAACATGATTTTATGCTGTGAATTTGCCTTTAAAATATTTTACAGTAACAGATTGCGGAACTTAAATAATGACAGATAAAATTCTCTTTGTTGGATCGTGCATTTGTTATAGATTGACCTCTATGTGATCAAAGGTCAAAAAGAACACAAACACTAGCTTGTGAATCAGACCTTTTGTTTTGACTTATCTTGCATGGTACCAAGGAGTGGGTCACTTGATAAAACACTGATTGTACACAGTAATCATGATTTAATTAATTTAATTTAGTAAATTTTATAGTATAACTAATGCTTGCCATGATACTTTTTTGTTGTAAAATTTAAGTTAAAAGTAAATTTTTTCCACTTTAACATCAGAATACAATAAATGTAAGAATGTTATCAAGTGCATGAACTTTAGGTTCTTTTGGAATAAAAAATTAGTTTTTGAAATATCTGTTGTTAAAATTATAATATTGAGTAACCTTTCTTTGTTAATTTTTGTTAAATTTTGTACTCTTTGTTCATTTTATAATGTAAAAAAATGTCTAACTCTTTGGTGAAAAAGCTTTTCAGGATTTATCATTTTTAGATGTTGCATTTTTTACACTACCACCCACCTAAATAAATTGTGAAGTACACGTTTAACAAATAGGAAAAGTGTACTACCACTACCTATACTACCACCCACCTATATTAGTTTTAAATTGCATTAAAAACTGCATTTAGCTAGTAATCAAACACACTTCTACCTGTATCCAAGATCTTTATTGGTCATTCAGTAATACAAGTATTACAACAGACACAGTCTATGTTTTCTTAAGTTTAACAAACAAATAATTTTCTGTTAAAAAAACAGAGAGAATGCACCAAGTGAGTAGCAATAAAGCCTTAAAATAAAACTGATAACACAACTGTAAACTCTAAAATAAATTAACAATTTACATGAAATGAACAATTAGGAAAACTTTAAATTAATTAGCTTAATTGTCTAAAAACAGAGAGAACACTAGCCAGATAGTCATCTGTGGAATAAAACAAATTTTACTTCTACTATTGTTTTAAAATGGAATTAAATCTTATTAAAGCCACACAATCCATACATTTTTTGGCAGTATTTTTTGAAATTTTTTATTGTATTAAGTCTGTAGTACTTGTTTTGGAAACTTAGTTTCTATTGTTGCAACTGGGATGTAACTCATGGCAATTTCCCTAGAGCCAAGTTCCAGAAAAATTATTTCAGTCTATTTTAGATAGGTTACTTCTACCTTTGACTTAGGACACTGAAATTGACATCAAATCTATGTAGTATGGATGTCAGTGAACCAGCCGTAGCTAGTTTACTTAGATATAATACAGTCAAATGAGCCTTTCATAAAGCCTCTACAATCTAAATATACTTTCTCTTGTAGTTTTTCATACAATTATAGATGATAGAGATACTCAAAATTTAATATTTTACAGTAAACTACGCTTTCACTTTGGCATTGTTAAAAAGCTGAAGTGCATTTTACAGCAGGACACTTTGTCAATGCATTTTTTCTTTCTTATACTGGCTACAATGTAAACATAGGTATCTACATTTGAGGTGTATACTTTACTGTAGTTTATCTCTACTCAAGCTTGTATTGTTGGCCATTATGTCGATGTTGTTTCCAGTGTTCATTGCCGAGGGAGGCCCAGATTGCCTACAGAGCAAGTACGAGGACATCGTACAATGTCTCAACTCTACCTTCTCCAAGTACACACCCAAAGAAACCCTCAATCCGGAGGCTTTAAAAGATGAACTGCCGCAACTCAAGCTCGGTCAACCTGAGTGCAAGTATGTTACATTTTTCTTTTGTTGAATAGAAGACTTACCATGAGGCATCATTGTTCACTGACCCTACCTGATTGTTGTTTTTTTAAATTTAATTTTGGTAGATTGTTTTTGCTCAGAAGGTTTTTGTTAGTTACAACGCAATCAAAGTATTTTTTCTCTGATTTATTCTATTATCAAGATGGGATTACTAGAAATTATAACTTGTTCAAATGTCTTCTAATCAGACAATGTTCTAAAGGCCTTTTTTGCCAGAAGCGGCTGATGTGTCTATCGCTCAGCGATAATCGCTCCGCGTCAGTCGCTGCTCAATGCTTTGCATAGTTTCAGGTTAATCTATTTTGCCAGAAGCGTCTATCGCTGACCACTGCTCCTAGAGCAGACGGAGTCTCAGTCGCTAGGAATTATTAGTAGAAGAAACACTTGTTTTGATGTTGACTTATTGTTTTAAAGTTGTGTTTTATTTAATCACAACATTGTGATTAAAAATTAAAAATCAGTGACATTTTAAAATATTAACCCCCATAAATTTATAATTCTCCCCCCATGTTATTCTTATGGGAAATAATAACATTGAAAGTTGCCGACTTTGGTATGCTCATCTGAACCGTTTAGAAACCTGCTAGAGACTTGAAATTGGGGCGGAACTTAAATTATTCAGAACATCCAGTTACCTTAATTCTGTCCAAGTAATCCTTAAATCGTCATTAGTAGTACGACCAGTTTCGATGTCTATGATGGCATCATTGTCAAGCTGGACGTGAAATCGCTCCTAGGAGGTCGTCATGAGTCTTGAAAAACACATACACAAACAAAAACCGATAAAATGCATGGCCACACAACTAATTTACAACACGGTGGCGGGTACAAGGTGTAGGTCTAGACTGACGCCGTGTCTTCCTCTCCCCACCTTCCCCCTCGAGTTATCAGCTGGTGATAATATCTCATTTATGGCTGCCTCATAAATTATATTGGATTCAAATGAGGATTTATCATTTAGGATGTATTGGGGGTTAATATTGCCGGCCTTGTAAATTTCATATTCCTCAATAGTATCTAAAAATCTTCCTCTTCCTTTATGGGGCCGTAGAACCTCTAGATTAATGTTGATAACGACCTCTTTGGAGCGATTTCCTGTCCAGCTTGACAATGATGCCATCATAGACATCGAAACTGGTCGCACTAATGACGATTTAAGGATTACTTGGAGAGAATCAAGGTAACTTAAGCTCTTGTGTACAATTCATGAAGTAATACGTAAGGCAATACACAAGATGGAAATATTTGGGTTGAGTTTACATATCAGCTACCAATAAGTTTTAAAACATTTTCCAAACACAAATATGATTAAACATACCAAGTGTGGTTTATGATAAGTTTGACTGTAATAAATTTGTCGGTCTTGATTACAGTGATATAAAGATCTTCCAAAAGTGTGTAGTCAAACATTTGGAGCAGTGTTCCGAACCCACGCCTGCCAACATCGTAGACAGCATGTTCACATTTGTCAAGAAGGTAATCATTTTATGGATTGCAGATTTTTATATACCAATATATTATATGGACTGTTATTATAAGCAACACCAATAAGAATAACATCAATATAATCAACCATGTAATTGGTTTCTCGCCTTTTATTATGCACTGAAAATCTTATTGTATTATATTTTTTTTGCAAAAGATGCTAGGTGCAAGAGTTAATTGTTTGCAGAATATTCAGTTAAAGTTAATAGATTATCAAGAATATCAAGTTAAAATCTAACAAATTGTGTAAACCATGTTAACCCATCGGAAACTTATCACGGAATGGTTCCGTGATCGGCTGAATAGGCCCAAAAACCTAATCATGGAACAGTTCCAAGATGACGACATAGCTTTATTATTGATTTTTTGTATTATGTAACAGTTATTGTGTTTTATTTGTTATAAGTCTACAGTTTTACAATAGAATCGTTTTCTTATTCTCCCTGTAATATTAGACATTGACAAGGGATATTTTTTTCATTTGTACAGTTGGCAATATGTGAACAGATGTGAAGTGATTGTTTACTTTCTTGATGTTCAGACTTTTGTGTTCGTACTTTCAGTGGTGATAAGTCATTATAACTTAGTTACGGGTTTATTGGGCATACAAACTAATTCGATCGTATATTCATGAGTGAGATTGATAGACTTTTGTGTGAAAGTGACGACGAATCGGGCGGCGTAGGCCTATTGGACAACGATAGTGGTGATCAGAGGTTAGACAGTGTTTTACATAAATAGCTGTAAAACATAGACTATTGTAGATATAATTGTAAATTAAAATTTGTTATGTAGGTAATTTAATAAAGTAAGGTAATAAAAGCAAGAAACAGCTGGGTCCAGTTTTGTACCATCAAAAAGATTTGATCAAAAAAGTTTGATGTTTTGTATGAGTATTTCTAACAACTTGTCATGTACAGGTGACTCCATGTCAGCAATACGAGGTGAAGGCCGGAGCGAGCTCCACTCACACTAGCGTCGTTACCGTCGCCCTAGCTGCAGCAGCTTCTATCCTCATCTCCACACTACTGTAGAACATAGCGTTTGTGTAGTTACTTGATTGCTCATGTAATGTTTTTATAATGGTCCTCAAGAGACATCTTGGGCCTGTAAAAAAACAATAACTAGCCACAACACTAGAATGTGATCTAAAAGGTTTATTTTGAACAAATTTTTGTAGTAAATATAGTTTTTATTGTTTCCTTCTTTGTGTTATACATACAGTGCATACATTCAAATGTGAATTATTATTTTAGAATGTGTTTTTTTTTTATTTGTTTACTTTACAATCTGTTCTATAATAATGTTGAACAATAAATGCCATGCAATACAACAAAGTAACTTTTGAGCCTTAAAAATAGCTGTTAAGCACTGTCAACAATAAATTATTTTATAATGTGATTAAAAACGTTTATTTTGAGCAAATTGTTAAAGTAAATATATTTTTTAAATTGTTTCCTTGTTTTTGTTATACAATACAGTACATACAGTCAAATATGAATTATTATTTTTGTATAGCAAAACTGTATAGTTACTATTGGGTAAGTTTGGCAAACAGAATTATGCATCATCATCTCCTCTATAATTATTGCTCTACATTTTGAAATGTAAGCACTATTCAATGATCACAGTGGTGTTAGAAAGTAAACACACTTGTAAAATGAAGCTGTAATGGCTGATATTAATCTGTTATTAAGTTACGCACTGCTGTGAGTCGTCTCTCTCTTATCCAGCCACCTTTCTTCAACCAACATCAATTTAATCGGTCATTGTCAAAACATTGACATCCTTATAGAGTTTTTGAAATGATTTCTAGGGTAAATCCATCCATCCAGCAATGGTGATCTGATCGGAGCTTCAATCTTTAGGTGTCTGAATAAGAGGAAGACTACTATATGTGCAAATTCTCTTGAAATTATTTCAGTAAACATGTTTGCAACTAAGATTGGTTATGTAAGTTTAGTTGTTAAGTTTTTTTATTTACAAATTGAATCAACCATCTATCAACATTCCTTACTGATAATACAGTTACCCACTCATTATATTTAGGTTGAGGTGTCTTTTTTCAAGGTGATTTAATATCACTTTCACGCATGTAGCCTATCATCAAGTAGACTAGTCATTAACTTATTTTTATCACTTATTTCAGTTTATGGTTTGTTTTTCATTCTATTGTTACTGTAAACTTTTTAATCAAATTTATGATTACTTTTGTTAAATTATTTGGCCATGGTTCATATTGGTAAAGAACAATGATTCAAGTGACAAAGGTGACCAAAATTCATAATCTCTTCACAGTCTTGTAGGATACAAACTACAGCTTGCTTCCTTTTTCTCCCTGTCTTTGAACAGCATAATAATTATTAACAAGTTTTGAGATGTGATCAGAGTCATGTTTGTACGCAAAATAAGTTTCTGCAACTAAAACATTATAATTCAAAATCCAAAGTATACTAACATAATGTTAGTATTTTTGTATAAGATAAAGACTTTAAAATGTCCAAGATTCAATTGGTTAGCTTACAAAATATGCAATCTGTTTTCAGTAATCTTAGTTTCCAATGTTGCCTTAAAAATGTGTGTTTTGGTATTTGAGGTGTTTAATATTCAATTAATGTTAACCCCACGATTGATTTTTCAATCTTGTAACCCGAATGAATTTAAGATTAGTGAGATTTTTACTTTTACTCCTCGTTGGATAAGTTTCTTATAAAGGGCGGCAAAACAGCAAAGTTGTAGAGTATTTTGACCTATACAAGCTACAGGAAATTTATTTTTTATTGTTCTCGAAATAATACATTTTCCTCATTCCTTTAAAACAAGTTAACATTAACACCAATCAAACAATGTATTTCAACACTTTTTTAGTAAATTTAACATATGAACATTTTGTTACTAGCCTAAAAATACAAATATTATACCTTTTTAATTTAAAACTGCCTTATAAAATATGAATTATAAGTTTTGAAAACGTTATTTTGTAGAGTTATATTATGGCTTCAACATAAATTACAGATATATATTTTTCATACATAAAAGAAAGTCATTGGTTGCTTAAAGATTCATTAACAGTTGCTTTATATCATCCATGACATTTTTGTAGTTATTGTAAATTTTAATGTTTATAGTGCTGGAAAATAGGTGTTAAGTTATAAATTTATTTAAAAAGAGTTGTACTTAGTCTTTGTGAGTACACCATTTCAAAATTGAAATGGAAACCAATTATTTTTTTTAACCATACCATGTTTACAATATTTGTCAGTGTTAACCCTATTGGCCTATTATAGTTGTAAGTTATAAATTATTTTGCATTTTATGAAATGCAATGTTCCCTTTTGTGTAAATCAAAATACAGGTTAATATTTTATATATGTCTAGTGATTTGAATAAAATCTAATGATGACTGGTTTTGTAAAGTTTGTAATACTCTGGTGTAAAGCTATGACAGCGGTTGATTGAGAAATAAATTGATATTTTTACATAAGTTAATTTATTGATTGTTGTTTTCCTTAGATTGTGTTTGAGACTTTATTCAGATATTAGGAAAATGTGTATAATAGTACATGATGATATGTCAATTTTAATTTGAATGTTTATCATGATAAAATATTTTCTTTACAAAAATAAACTATTTTTTTGCCTCTGTAATCTTAATGTCCAAAGAAATCAAAAGAGATACAATAAAAAGTTATATGCAACATTCTAGGATGGAGACAAAAGACAAATAGACAGTCAGTGCTTCTCAATTTGCTATGAAAAGTTTGAATGCTTGTGTGTATATATTATGTGGATACCTCATGACTCGTGTCCTGTTTATAGTTTAGTAGCCAATATCTGCACGATAGACATAAACAGCCTTCTGTGACTGTACCCAAGGTCCTTAAACACTGATCATTAACTAGCTAAGTGAAAAAACCACCTTAGCGGCCTTATCCACTAAGTGGATTACGTTGTTATTTTGTCACCAACATGGCAACCCATAAGGCCCATGTTAATTTTTTTAATTTTTAATTAATTTTTTGTGCTTATTTTTGAGCCTACAGTAGACTCCCTCTTATCCGGACTCCTCGGGACCGAGGCCAGTCCGGATAACGGTTTTTCTGGATAACTGACGTCCCCAAAAACTCATAAAAACCGACTGTTTAAATGCGTGTTTGACTTAAATTTAGGAGAGCATTTTATTTAGACACGTGATCACTGGTCTCAAATCTTTCCCACGAGAACAGTCGTTTCAGTACCACCCACTTCCTGCCGATCTAGTCCGGTTAAACAGATGTGCTGATAAAAATGTTCTGGCTAAAGAGATGTCATTTCCGCCAAATGTAGTCCAGTTAAACCAATGTCCGGTTAAAAGGTGTCCGGATAAGAGGGAGTCTACTGTATTTTAATTTATAAAGGGATTCTGCACATCTATAGGCAAACATATTTCTAACGTAGATATTCCCAGTGATCCACAGGAGCTGAGAAAAAAGGTTTTCAATAAACATGCTTGTTTATTAATATATAGAATTAGCCCCATGTTAAATCTCCATAAGAAAAGTTTAATTTCCACTTTAGACCCAACTAACGTAAATATTCTCAAAATACAAATAAAACCCGCACATATAGGACCTATTCTTTTGGTACAACCTGTGTATAAATCGGTCCAGTACTAGTAGTAAAGTCAGGGTAGCTACTGTCGTAAGCTATAAATTTTGGTCCCATGTTTAATCTCCATAAGAAAAGTTTAATTTTTATTTTGACCCAATTAACGTAAATATTTTCAAAATACAAATAAAACCTGCACATATAGGACCAATCACCTTTCTTTTGTTACAACCATATTGACTATACCTGTAGGTATATATAGTGTATAAATGTGTATATATATCAATGGTACAACCCACATGTAATCCGGTCCAGAGTATGATCAGGCTATCTGTCATAAGGTTTGACATTTTTTTTTATATTTAAGATGTATTTTAACCAAATCAGTAAAATGTTAATACTGTACATGCGTTTCCTTGAATAGTATCAGCATAGGAGTTTGGTATCAAATTAAAGGTTTTATTTTGTAAAATACATTGTCGTAAACCAAACTCAACTCAAACGGACAACCGAGTCAAAATGGCAACCGTTTAAATATTTCTTAAATCCGTCATTTTTTACCCAGCTGTTGTTTTGAGCTCAAATTTACAGCATTGTATTCTACCTAAATTCCTGGGAACCAAGCTTTGCTTGAGTAAAATCATTAGTTTACTCTGTCAGCAGTCGTAGTAATGCAGATACATTAATCCAACTGCCACAAACGGTTCCCACGCTCCGCAATAGGCTACTTGCCTTTAGGCCTACTCTTCTTTCACCACTTCCGTGGACCTGTTTCCCTCCCTTCCCATAGCATTGATGTATTGCAGATACATTAAGGGAACAGGGGTTTGGGGCGTTTTATGGGGTAAAAACGGGGTTTCACCACTTAAAAACATAAAAATATTTTGCAATGTATTTTCTAAACCATTTTGTTGAGCTTAAAAAAAGAAATAATTTTGTATATCTAAGCATATGCCTAACGTATAGCTAAAAAAATTTTAAATTTATGATTCTCATATTATTACAGAGAATAAATAAACTGTTGCAGTTTGGTTTTTTATGGATATATTTTAATCAAATTCAGCAATTTTGTTTATTTCATACGGTAATAAGCTATGAACATTTCAATAATACCCCCGCCGCAGCAAACCTGCCGACTAAGCGAATTTCCAGTTGCCTGAGTTGATTTTCAATTAAATGTATTTAATTAACATTAATTTTTATGAGTACATAGGCTTGCTGCTACAGGGAGGTTAAAAAAGTGTGTTTTTTAGAGAAATATTAATAACTTAGTATAAAATAAATAAATTTACCAAGTTTGATCAAAATATATCCATAAACAAGCAGACTACAACATTTTACAATATTCCCTATAAGAATAACATGGGAATTTAAAATTAACAATTATTTGAATTTTCTCCGTAACTAATAATAGTACAAAAAAAATTTGAGAGACTAAATTGTTTGTTTTTTAAAGCTCTTTAAGAAGGTCTGAAGGAAAATTGGGAAATTTTGCGTTTGGAGGGTCAAAAATTAGAAAAACCAATTTTTACCCCATAAAACCCCCCGTAAAACCCCGTTCCCATGGTCCGATCATGCTGGTTCGCGAACTCATTCAAGTTTATCCCGCCTTACACCTTCAAACAAAATTTCATCAAAATCGGATAAAAATTACTCAAGTTATCGTGTTCACGGACACATATATATATACATATATAAAAATTTGAACGAATGGTGTTTCTGGCCTCTGGGGACATCAAAATGAAAAAGTAAATCGGTCCCGGGCCTCTTACCATGCCACCTACGGTAATAGCTACTTCCCTATAGGGAAATTCGCTAAAAACACATCTTATTAATACCTTCCCTGTATCAGCAAAACCTTACTCATTAAATTAAATAAATTAATTAAATTAATTAATTAATTAAATTAAATTATATTTAAATAGGAACTAAATCTGACAATTTTAAGGGAATAATTTAGTCGAATTCCAGCCAGGTAAATGGAAATTCGCTTAGTCCGCAGGTTTGCTGTGGTGGGGCGGGATATTTAGTTTAAACGATTATTTAACTATTGTCAATTCCAAGAATATATGACAGTTTGTTAGTTTTGATTTGACATATAATCCATTGAGATAGGAGTCACCGACGCCACTGTCCCAGGCTAAGACTGTAGTAGTACATTTTTAAAATTAAGGTTATGTCTTATCGGCGTTGACCGAGAGTAATTGTTATCAAACAAACCATTCAATCAAGCTACTGGCTTCAGTGGCTTCATCAAAGATAGTGAGTTTTTGAGTTCTAAGCTACTGTATGTCGCAGCTGAATTTCGATTCCTGATAACGAATAGGTAGAGAGGCGTCATCATCACATCATCAGTAAAAAGCCGGGTTTTCCTAGGCGCGGAAGTGGAGCGCGGAACTTGTTAATTGGAGAGCGGAATCCACTTGTCGTAGGCAATTTAATGTTACTGTTTTAATAGAAGGAGAGCGGAACACCATGTTAATCTCTTTTCCGCTCTCCGCGCTCCTCTTCCGCGCCTAGGAAAACCGGGCTTAAACATGGTTTGCATATGGTTTGGCGGTTGATGTGCATGGTGTTAATTTTAATAAAGAGTAGGAGCAAAGGTGGCCCTTTAACCGACCCCTCATTGAAGCACTCCTCTCAATGGGGGTATTTTTGTTGCACCCCCCCAGACAGCACACTTTATCCCAGGGACATCCCATAGTAGTCCCATATGTCCTGAGAATGTCTCGGGATATGTGCGCTATCCTCAGGATATCCCGCAAAATCCCGGGACGAGTACGAAATCCACAGGATATCCTACAATATACCGTAATGTCCCGGGATTTGTAAGTTAACCTCAGGATATCCTGTAAAGTCCCGGGATATGTACGAATGCCATAGGATATCCCAGAATGTCCCATGACATCCCGGGACATGTACAAAATCCACTGGATATCCTGTAATGTCCCGTAATGTCCCGGTAACAAACTGAAGAAAAAAAAATACTACCACTGATGAAATGTACAGTATATCTAAATTTAAATGTTCAACAAGGCCAACATATAATAATTTGTTTTTTTCACTAGTGCTTTCGGAAACTTGGTTTCCATCTTCAGGCTGTGTTTACACTAGTACAAAAAGTAAATATTTACTCAATAAATTAATTTTAAACAAAGTTAAAACAGATGATTTAAAGGATATTGGAAAAATAAAAAATAATATTAGAAAAATTTATCTTTTGAATTTTGGATATGTTACAGTGTTGTTCTTGATGTAATTATTTTCAGTAATTCCGAATTTATAATTGGGCCGTCTTCATTATTTAACAAATAATTTTGGTCTGTTTTTTTTTTCTAAAAATAAGATTCCCACGCATTAAGATGTTGAGGTTTTATAATTTATTAAAACTAGAGTTCTATCATAGTTGTGTGGAATGTGAATTTAATTCTAACTTAAAATTAATAAAACAACAAAAAACTAATTTTAATCATATAACAATCAATTATTACAGTGTTAATCTAATGGTGATTAAATAATCTATATTCAAATACCAGTATCCTCTCCAACTACCAGAAAAACAATTCAACTACTTGAGGCCTAAACAGATTAACAGAATCATATATAGCCTATACTGTAGTATCAAAAATATTTTAAGTATTGCGACCATTGCAACTGTCGACTACTCTTTAACCACTTGAAAACACCCATAATCAACAAGCGCAGATAGCTCCGGAGGTAAGGTAAGAGGCTCACAAGGCGAAGGTACCAGGTTCGAAACCCGTCTGGGCCAAAAACTTTTTTCTCGTTTTTTTCTTCAAAATTTGTGTTTATTAACTATTTAATCAATTTACTAAACTTATAATTAAGCTTTTCATACTAAATCTATATTATTTTGTGTTTTTTATGTTCAGGCCCAGACCACACTTTATCCCAGGGACATCCCATAGTAGTCCCATATGTCCTGAGAATGTCCTGAGGACTACCCTGGGATGACCTCGGATGTCCCACGGATATGCGTGTGAGCTTATCCGTAGGACATCCCCGGGCGGGGACATTAGGCATTCCTGTGGATATCCTGTGATATCCCAAGTTGACCATAGGACCACTATGGGATATCTTGCATATCCTGTCGCAATATCCGTGGGATGTCCTGAGGAGAAAGTGTGCTGTCTGGGCCCCCCCCTCCCAACCAAGGAATTAAGTTAACTCACTTTGTGGAGAACAGGACATACAGGAGGTTTGTAAAAAGGCAAGGTACATAAAACCGGTAGTAGATACCAATACATAAACGTGCAAAACCACGGCCGCCTTTAACTCCAGGCCGCGGCCTTCGAAGTGGCAACGCCACAAGTAGGGTTGTGTGTAACAGCTGTTTTGTTTGGAAGTAGCTAATATGATTTGTGTATTTACGAAAGCTTGGTCACTGGACTATAAAAATATCGACTCCATTTAAATGTACACTTACTTACTTACTTGAAATACTTGATCTCTTCATCGTTGACCAACAAATGTTGGATAGATTGCGTCATTAAAAGTTTCACTATTTACTAACACTATATTACATATATACAATTATACTGAACTGACGGATGTGACTTAATTCGGGAAAGCGAGTGGCTCGTCAAACAGTTCTTTTAAAGCGTACAAGGGCCTGCTGAGTAGGCTCTGGCGAAGTGCGGATTTGAATTGCTTTGGGTCTAGAGCTCGGATATTGGTCGGCAGTGTGTTGAATAGTTTTATTGCTATTGAGGGGTATGACTGAAGTGTGTGGCGAAGGCGACAACGAGGTAGGTCAAGGTCACCAGCCCCGCGAGTCCCATAATTGTGCTGCATGCTTCTAGTTGAGAAGTTAGTTAAGTTGCTTCTCAGAAGGACTAAGGTGTTCAGTATATATTGGCTGTAGACCGATAAGACACCAAGTTCTTGAAAAATCGGCCTGCAATGGTCGGTTGGGCCGGAAGATGTTATCAGTCTTAGAGCCCTCTTCTGTAGCAGCAGCACACCCTGAGTTGCGTGGCTATGTCCCCATACCACCAAGCCATAGCTAATGTGACTGTGGAATAGTGCGTGATACATGATGAGCAGGTAGGGGCGTGTGATCTCATTCTTTAGTCTTCTGATCAGATAGAGTACTCTGCTAAGCCTAACACATACCTTCTCAACATGATGATTCCAGTTTAGTTTGGAGTCGACCCAGAACCCTAACAGTTTCACCGCCTCATCTTCAATACCCTGTTTGAGGGTGCACGTGATGGACTGTGTCTTGTCGTTGTTGATTTTGAGACGGTTTAACACAAACCATTCTTTGGCTTCATTTAATAGAAAAGCTGCCTCTGTTCGAAGGTCATTCAGGTTGCTGTGCCTGGTCATTAACGTTGTATCGTCTGCAAAAAGCAGCGTGCGCCTGTTAAGGGACAGATCGTTAATCATTATAATGAACAGGACAGGACCCAGAATCGAGCCTTGGGGCACACCATGGTGCATTTCCTGGACGTTGGAAGAAGCTCCATGCAGCGAAACAATTTGCCTCCTGTTTTCAAGGTAGTTAACCAGTGATTTGTACAGATACATATTTTCAATTCGAATTCATAATGTTATGGTTTTAAATTATGTATGTTTTATTTCAATATTTAAATAAATTAATGTTCCTAAATTTAAATCAATAAAGTGCGAATTAATGAGCAGGTGTAACCTTTCTGCCATTTTATCTTATGGGACGTCTGACACCAAACAACCCCTAAAGGTGGCCGTGGCAAAACGCATAGAATCCGAATTAATTGATTGAATATTACTCAAATAGGCAATTAAAGAGACGTAGAATCTTTCCACCCTAACCCTGGTGGAACTTTTCCACTAAATCCTTGTTTTGATATCGCAATTAATTGATTGATCTTATAGGCCAACTACCTTACTACCTTATAGTCTTTTAAACTAAACTATGAATCGGGTTTTATTTTTTATTTGTATCTTTTTTTATATTTTATAGATCACAAAATACACTAACTTCAAAGGCTCTGTTTATTATGACATTTTTGTACATATTTATTGAATAAGCCTGATCAACGGCGTACAAATAGCACAGCTGTAAATTGGCTTTGAAATAACCAAAGGTACTGGTATTAGTGCAACAAGTAACCATAGGTGGCGATCTTCACCTTGACTTTTTTTAGCAAAGTAAAGTTGTTAAGTTGTTATTATTTCTAATTTTGAGTGAATCAAGGTGTGTTGTGATGGTGTAATTTGTGAACAAGATTTTCTTTTTAATTGATAAAAACTTGTTTTGTAGTGATATTGAGTGACTTTTTCTAGTGTAATTGTTGTAAGTATCATTTAGATTTACCAGTACTTTTTCCATCTAATCTTGACATTGTTAATTTCAATATGAACAACACCTTATTTAACCTTTGATCAGAGATTGTTGTGATAAACAACCCACCAGGGATTGATTTTCAACTTCCCTAAAGGCTGTGTCACACTAGGCTACTTACTAGCTGCTATTTAGTAGCGGCTAGTGAAGTAGCCGCTAGTAAAAGCTGTCACACAACAAATGTCGGTAGCGGCTACCTAGTAGCAGCGATTCAGCCAGTCAGTGTCAATCCTGTGAAAATGTCGTCTGTTGGTATAAGCCGGGTTGAATTACGGCGTTTAATTTTGATGTGCGTTAGTGATGTTTGTTTCTTTTTGAGCCCATCTTCTTGCACCGCAAACCGGAATAGTCTAATTCCTGCATCAGTTGTGCAAATGCCTGTCTTTTTACTTCCCGCTTTAAATAATCAGGGCACTTAATATCCCAAAGGCATTGATATTTCCGAGAAATGTTTAAAAAGTTAATTATGTCCCCACCGGACCACTTCACTTCACTCATTTTTCACAAATTTTAATTGAAACCAACTTTTCCACAACAAACCAAACCCAAACATGCACAGCCACTAGCCGCTACTACGCTAGTACACATGTCACACCGGCTACTCGGTAGCCGCTAGTCAATCACGTGACTCACTAGCCGCTAGTTAGTAGCTCGGAAAATTGGACATGTTCAATTCTCGACGCTAGTGAAATGAGACTAGCGCGCTACTCCTACCAGCCGCTACTGCCTATGTCAGATTGGCTATGAGTAGCCGCTATTTCGCTAGCGGCTAGTAAAGTAGCCTAGTGTGACACAGCCTTAAGGTATTGAACTAATCTCTTAGTTTCCTAAAAAAAACCTAATCTTAAAATATTCACATATTACTTCAAATTTGGCTTTTTATTGTTATGTACATTATCCTACTTGAAAGCTATAAGTTAGGCTAGGCTAAGCAATTAAAGAAAACTTAACTTGAATGTTTTTAAATATAGGCTAGGATAAACTGCTGTACCACTCTTAACTCCATGTTATTATAGCCATAGCTTAGACTATTTACTGACACTGCATTGGAATTAAATTAAACTATGATAAAGTTATTATCACCAGCCTTTGATAGGCTAGGCTAAGTCGTGGCTAAGATGTGGATTAGGCGTCCGGCAGTTACTTTCATAACCTAACCTAACTAACCAAACTTGCTGATAGGCTAATGAAAAAATCGAATGAAGGTTAACCCTCCGAGTGTCCATAGTTTAGGCCTTAATGTCCACCTATTTTTGGCCCCTTTGCAAGGTTTTATTAAAACGGATCTGAGAAGCTTAAAACAATGTCAATTCTAATGTTCTATATACCATTTTGTTTGGAAAATCATGGGCTTCAATATTATATATAAAACATAAGGAACATTTTTTCAAAAAAAAAAATTTTTAGGTAAAAAAAAATATAATTTTGAAAATTTTCAAAAAAAAAATAAGTTCGCGCTCAATGAAATTGTATAAATTATAGGCCTATAAATATTTGAAAATAGCCACTTTGTTCTAAATTTAATGAGGATTACAAATATATAATCATATAGCGAGGTAAGTTATCAAATAAATAAGTTATGAGCGAAAAACGGATTTCAGTACATAGCGTTTAGCTAAGAATGCATAGCCTAACCATAGCTAGGAATCTGGCTGATAATTTACATCAATATCACTACCTACTTCTTCAGGATCATCAACCAGCACTTCAAAACCACTTAAATCTTCTTATAATGCACCACGTATATCACTACTTTTGATTTTTAACACTAAAACAATGATAAACGTAATAAAACACATCAGTCATCGGTCCGGGGGAACCTAGCTGTTTACAAATACACGCACGTCAGCTGTCTGCTACAATATTTTCGGAAGTAAAATGAATAGCGCTTAGAGACAGACCTCTGGAGAAAGCTTAGAATATTACGGAAAGAACGATACCTAACTCGATCCAGTTCAATCCGATTCAGTCAGTCATAGAGCCTTCGCCGTAAACGATGTTTGTGCGTCATAAAAGTGACGCGTGACCCTACACAAAGTGTGTTGTGCGTCATTTTTATGACGCGTGACACTCGGAGGGTTAAATTCTGTTCATAAAATAAAATTATAAATGCTTAAAATTGTAACAAAAGATTTAACTTATAGTTAAGAAGAAATGGCATTCCAAGCAAAATCTTTAAAAAAAAGTTTTAAAAAAAGTGACACCTTTGTGATTGGATCTAAGTAGGCCTACCTCTTGTACATCAGCCGAGTACTCTATCCACTACACCATGAACACCGATGGTAGTAAACCGTATCAGTGTATGTTAATGAAGTTCCGGGCCCCCACAACCTGGTGACGTCACTGCCGGACGCCTAATCCACGTTCGGTTACCGTACGCGTATCCTAAGCGTTCAATTTTAGCAACTGTAACTTCAAACTCAGCTACCATTGACTTAAGCTATTAATTACCGTGAATTAATATTAATTACTAAGTTTATTAATATTATTAATAGTAATAACACGGATATATATATCCGTGGTTTACCGTTAATAAACCGTGAATAAATAAATAAATAATTAAAAGCATGATTAGACCTAATGTACTGTAACGTCATAGATTGTGTAGCCTAATGTCAGATGGGACTAAGTTAAAGTGACACCAGCAAAGCAAGCTGGGTACCGGGTCTGCTTCTTTTGTAGGCCTACAGAAATTATTTTAGACAACAAAAAGAGGGGATTCTTATGGATGGTAAAGCTAGGATCGTACAGTCTACCACACTCTTAAAAAATTGTTCAACCTAAACCTTACCAGCTGTTAAATCTTCTTCCTGGTGATATGCCCAAGTGTAAGTGGACCAGTTTGATAAATCCACTGAGTTAATTCGAGTAAACTAAGTTAAGAATACAACCAAACCATGTATATTTTCAGAGGCCATGATACCTCTCAGAGAGGACAGTTAAGTTTTAAGGTAGACCTCAAAATTCAAGAATAGGCCTAACTCCAGGGCACCATCTCCATTCACTTATGAGGCACTATTGTCACTTTGTTATTAGGCTAAATAGGACTAGCGTCGAACTTTCTAAAACACCAACACAGCATGATTGCTGTACAGTAGTTGAAGACAAATATGAATGATTTAGACTAAACTTAAACTTATTAGCTTTTTGGAGTAGGCCTACCTACTAACTTAAGACAGCTGATAATTTTTCCAGGTCAGTTTTCAAAAATTAATTTTTCACCACACTATGATGTTTTTGGCTGTATTACATACGTTAATTGGTGGCTGAAAGTTACGTTTTGCTGGCCATGCCAGCTGTCATCGTAATTTGGGGACCGAGCAGGTTTTTACAGCCCGGGGCCGCAAAATCAGCTGTCCGCTTACTTACTTAAAACATGAATGCATTTTGAATACACAATCAAAATCCATAGCATTGCAATAGAATTGTGTTATTGTCACCGTTGCCTAGCAACTATTTATTTTTATTTTTGCTGATTCCTCAAATTATTTCTTAACATAACCTTAAAGTTGTAGTTGTGTTGACTATCAGTGTGCATTATTATAGTGATGAATAGTGGTAATAGGGTATAGTGTGGTGAAAAATAGCGTTCGTACCACGGACCGAAATGGTTTTGCAGCTCTCGATCGATTTAAGTTCTCGACTTCGTCTCGAACTTAAAAACTATCTCGAGCCTGCAAAACCTCATTTTCGGCCCTAGGTACGAAATATATTATTACTTACAGTAGTTTGAGATTTTGTAAGAGATTTTGGTACCTACTTTTGTATTATATGGAGGCCACTTATTTTACAGCACGCTGCGGCAGTTAGGTTATGTTTGGTTACTGTATTATAAATATGTTTGAAGAACTTTCCTCGTAAATCGGCCATGAATCAAACGATACCAGATGAGTCATAAAAAATGTATGTTAACCCAAACCACCCTAACCGCTGTAGCGCGCTGTGTAAGGGTGGCCTCCAAATAATACGAAGTAGGCCTACCGAGATTTTTTCTGTACAATGCCCAGTGATGCAAAAGTTAGTAAACAAAAAAGTGTTTTAAAATCAATACAATCATCATCAATTGACACCATTGATGCTTAGGTTTCAATAAAATGCAAGAACACAAATGCGCAACTTTTCTGTTACCTTTTTGGCCTTTTTGTGTTTCCCGAGCACATTCAGGATAACATAGGCCTATTGGGTTGATAAGCTAAAGACTGACCACCCTGCACTACCTATTCTGCTCTGGTCACGTCTGGTTTGCCTATGTGACTAAAATACCAAAACGGTAGGTACTTCACTGTCCGTATCACAACACAGACCAGTAGTCTATGGTGACGAGTACTGTAGTTTGAAACACATATAAACAGAAGCTGCCATTCGCGCTGCTTGCAGGAGACCTAAGGCTAGATTTGGTTATTATATTATTTATAATGAACTTCATAGCTCTTTACCCACAAAGTTCACTTTCTACATCGACATTAACCCCCAAACTACCTCCCTTCTGACAGGGGCGGTTCCATCACGGATTCTTGAAGGGGGCTCTTGCTTGGAATCTTGGGTTATAGGCTGTTTACCACCTCCTAAACACTGGGGGTTTGGGGGGTAGAGATATAAAGATTTTTAATTGTAGAAAAAAATGTTTAGGCCTAATTGTAAAGAAACCAAGTTTTAATGTCAGGGGGGGGGGTTGAAACCCACTGAAACAATAAACCATGAACATCTTCAGCAGTCGAGGAAACATTATCCTCCCCAGCGATTGAAGACAAATCCTAAACATCTCCTGCGATCAAAGGAACATCATCATCGCTATGAGCGATCGCGGCGTTTTGTTGTACATGCGGTCCTAAACCACGGCATGGTCGTAAATTCAACACTGTCTACCACCACTCATAATTCAGTTCCATTTAATATTGATTGAAGGTTTACATTTCAGGCTTTTCAAGTATTTAATTGTAGTATAAAGTCAATAACTAATTAACATTAAGCGTTGGCCATCACATTTTTAAGGTCATTGTCAGAAACTGATCCTTATCAAAATCATATCTCATTATCAATAACCTCACTACCTACATTCAAGCGCTGATTATCTGAAGCCCGGATCATCCGGAACGTGGCCGAAAAAGCCGATTACCGGCGTTGACGCGATAGCGTGAGACAACTAGTGGTGACGCCGAGACCGCATATGGTCACGGATGTTGCTACAATTGCAGGAGGCAATCAAACTAGTAAAAAAATACCTGAAAACATAAAAACATTCATTGTTGTCTTGCCTACATAGATACAAAGATTCGTCTATTTTTATCAATTTATTACGGGCACATCTGTGAAAGCAGTTTGACAATATTTGTACAGAAAATTATATTGTTTTAAAGTACCGGTATTGTAATTTGTAATTAACTGTATAGTAATGACAAAAAATATAGATTGTGCTAGTTCAGGGATGAATACATTTTCTCCACTATTAATTAGACACGTAGAAAAGTTATTTAAATTTTGTCTGCAATGTTTTTGACGGACTTAAATTGTTTACTCATAAATTAAGGCTGGCGTCTTGGCCCAAGTGCTCCAACAAAACCAGTTGTTGTTGTTTTCTTCAGGTAGGCTACCTAGGTACCGTATATTAGAATTTGGCTATGTTTTAATTTCCTTTTAAAATTCTTTATTTTTACATGATCAAGCAATATTTAAACCTTTTAAAGTAGGTTTCATAAGATAACAGCTAAAAAGACCTTTCAATCTTTAAATACCACAAAATATATTCTGTTTCAGACTTGCAATGTGACACCCAAACTTCATCTGCCATGTCGACCCCGACACACAAGAATACTGATCCTCCTCCCTCAGGTATGTGCTGAGACATTTTATGTGTTAAATTATACTTAAACCCCTTCCACTCTTCACTGTCCATCAGCATCAAAGATGTCAACTTCTTGCATCCTAGTTTGACAAGAGACAGGAACGGTCTTGTGACTTCCAAAGCGTGTTCTTGTGACACAACGACAAAGTTTTTTGCCTGCCAATAACAGGCTGCCGCATCCTGTTGTTTCAGCAATGTTGCAGAATGTCCATTGTCGAGAGTCTGTTATCAACGGGCGTTGTATCCCAGCGATTGTTTTTAAATGTGTTGGACATTACTAAAAATTAAATTTACTGTCATGCAAACCGATCATCGAAAAGATTTTGTCAGAACTATTGGTTTTACAAAAACACCATTTGGCGGATCTGCTGAGGCATTGCCGCAACGCAACCGAAAAGGGTTTTTTAATAACAAGGAGGTTCGCCACAACAGGCTAGCCTGACAACAGTTGTCGTGTGGCAACCCAGTTATTCATCCTGTTATGTTATATAACCACCATGGACTAGGGTGACTATTGTTTTTTATTTATAGGGCCTACTAGAAATATGTCTAAGCTGAACTCAAACCACAATATTGGGAAGTTGGCGACAGCAACATCTAGTAGCAATCATTGTGATTTATCAAGATTCAAATATCTTTATTAATTTTTTACAAAATACATTAAGGGGTCAACAGATGTAGATCCAGGCAAGGGTGGTCCTAGACCTATTTTTTTTGGGGGGGGGGGCTCAGGGGGGGGTTCACCGGGGTTTGTAATCATTGTCTACTTGTACCTGAAACGGTAGGCTTCTTAAGGTAAGAATGTTGCTAGCAGTAACTGTTCTCTGAAAAAAGAAAAGGAAAAAGTAGGCCTATAGGTTATGAAGTTTTAAAAATGTAATTATAAAACAATTGTGGGTAAAGTTTCACTCATATTTGGGTTAAAATACACACCTAGGTGGTGTCCCCATCTCAACTAATTGATACCGGTAATTGATAGTAGAATAGTATAGAAACAGTGAGGGCATCATTGTTTAAAAACATTATACTCCATATTAACTACTTACTAGCTGTTAACCCTCAGCAGAAGTTTTGCCAGCAAAACTCTCTATAACTCTAAGGGATGGAAGTGAATTTATAGTCATATTCATGGTCAAGAATCTTTATTCATAGTATACATGGTTGTACATGAATAGTGTCAAATAAATTAAAACTAATGCTTAAAACTATGATAAAGCCATTTTCAATTCATCTAAAGAGTATAAAGACAGGTCCATTAAATATGCCTTGAGACTTCTTTTTTAAATTTTGGGTTTTTGTTCTGTTTTAATTTTCAAAGGAATAAATTTAAAAAATACATGTCCTGCATTGATAGTCTTTTTTTGAAGAGCTCTAATTTATGTTTTCCAATTACAAAGTTATTTTTGTTACTTGTATTGTAGTTATAATTGTTTCTTTAATTGGTGGATTGAAATTTTTGTTTTTGACAAACATAATACATTCAAGAACATAGAAACCATAAACAGTGAAGATCCTTAAATGTTTAAAGTGTTCTTTTGCAGAATCATCTTTGTTCATTTTTAACATAGCTCTGATTGATTGCTTCAGTATTGTCAAAATTTGGTCTAGATTCAAATTTGAGGTGGCTCCATATACACATTACAACGGTGTTTTATTGTATTTATATGTAATTAAAATTTGGATATAATTATTTGGGTTCCAATAAGTTAAGTTAAGCTACCTCATTTTTGATTTTATACTCAGGGTCTAAGTTATTGCTGTACGGTAACCAGGAAAAATAAAAAACATGAAATTGAGAACAAAAATGGACCTTTATTTAAACTTAATGACTTATAAACTACTTACAGAATTCAAAATCAAACATAAGTTAAGATATTGATAAATTTAGAGATTGTTTACGAATTTTAAATAATTAGACTATCCTACCTAGGCCTATATGATTTTAAATTATTGATATGTGATTTATGGCTTAAATAAATTAAATTAAATTAAATCTGGCCTGTTTGTGTGGTGATCTGAAGTTTCATCGTTGACTACGGTTCCGCAGTTGGGCTGTAACCAGACGACAGTCTCCCACTGTAGACGGTACGGTGATATCAGAAAGAATAGTTTGATTTCAGCAAGATGTTTCTTTGATGCCGACTCCGCCTTTGCGTAAACAGTAGAGGTTGAAAATACACAACGTGGGTCTGAAGATAGAAATAGGCTGCTAAGTCATCAGATCCACCCTCAAAACAGACGGGAAATGTCGATGTATGCACACAGACACAACAGAACTAACCTATATTGTCGCTAACAACGAGAACATCACACATATCGGTTTCACAACACAGAAGAATAATATATAATGTGTAGGTGTCACGAATTGGAAACACATTCACTTCGTCCACTGCAGCACGACTGTACTAATCACCCCTACATCGCAGCCAAAACAAATACATCCATTCATCCAGGGTGGTATACTTTGACTGACTTGCCTAGTCCCTGCTCACCGCTCACCTCCTACACCTAACCCGTTCGAGCTCTCCCATTGGCTGCCGAACTCACCCTCGGCTCCCGAACCTCGAAGATATACGAGACATGTTTGCGACATCGCATTGGCGCCATCTCCACAAGCAAGTCCCAACAGGAAAATTTTAGCGTTTTGGGATAGTGTTAGGGCGCATATGTAACCTAATAGTTGAGATTGTCCAGGGTCAGGTGCTGACTGTGATGATTTAAGCCTATTACGTACCACTGTTCTGTAGCTGCGGTCGTTATCACGATTACGCCTCCTGTCTATTTTTCGTTGTCGTCGCGTCGAAGGCATTTAAAAGTAAAAACAACAAATAAACAAATTATAGCTACACAAAACAACGATAAATGCACAAATTTAAGTTAGAATCGTGCTAACACAATCCGTCATGGCGACACAAAACAACGATAAATACACAAATTTAAGATACAACCATACTAACACGATCCATCTTGGGGGTTATGTTTACACAAACTCAAATAGTAAATAAATAAATAACAGCAATTAAATTATACAGCTGATCAAAATGTAAACAATTATGTTCTTCATAAGGATAACATGGGAACTTTCAAAGCAACTGGGGCAGAGCCCAAGGGACTGTTTCAAAAATGTAAGGCCAGGTTGCAAATCTACGCGACACGCTCTTTCCAATGAGACATCAATGGATAAAATCGGTTAAGAAATGGCGGAGGAGTTCAACCGGAAAAGTTGCATGTAGCGTATTAATTATGTAGATGGGATTGAATATGGGAAAAATAAATCATTTTAAACACTTAAATACTGCATAGTTTTGGTATTTTTCTAATCGCACAAAGGCCGGAATTTATTTGATTTAAAACAAGTTGACAATGTTGGTACCAATACAAGTTACTGTCCAATGTCAGGCCAAGGAACGTTACGGCTTCTGTTATTTCAATTGGTTGGTTATTTACTTCAATACTAGATAACCTGTTGCTCAAAATCGAGCAAAACTGCAAATTGAAATAAAAAAAAATAAACAACAAAAACATAAATAGCATGACCTCAATCAAAGAGTAATTCTAAAGTCTATGACTGATTATAGAAATACAAAAAATATTATGTTGTAACAAATTATAAAACTAACCCACAATATTTAATATAGATCCGCTCTCATACTGCTTTGGTCATCTCTTATGTATTGTAGGTGGGTCCCCACTATGAGAACGTAGATGTCAACCACACACTGTAAAGTGAGCTTTTCCGACCTTATGTTGCAAGCCAAATCCCTCTCTTGACGCAAACCAGTACGACCCGTAATATAGCACTGTTAAATTATTTCTACGATAGGTTCTGTTTTAGGCGTGTTTAAATTAGGGGCCCCAACCAAAGTCTCCAGTTGGGAACATTGGAGGGCAAACAAGTGGATCTAACGACGGATCTAGATTCGCGTTTAAAATGATTAGTTTTTGAAAAAAAAGAAACTAAGATATATTTGGTCTGGTGGTCCTCTGTTTTCAGCTTTAAAAATAGTGGCGACATTTATACAGGTCACATCATTGTAGCGAGGAAAGCCAATTATTTTGTCTCTTATTATGTACATAAGAATCTGCCTTAACTCCTCGGAGCTCTCGTCCCTACAAATTTCGGCCACAGTTTTAAAAGATTGGGCAAATGGGTTGGCAATGTGACCCTATTTCCCACATATTTTATCATTGAATCTTTCCTTTCAAGTTCAAGTGTCATGGATCTTGAAATTGTAGATCCCCTGTATGATCCTCTCATCTAAATGAGCTTCAGAGCTGACCATGGCAAAGGCGGAATTGAATTGACAAATTTTGTTCTAATAATTTCTAGATCCAAGTCTCACAGCCCTGATTTCAGATTGGGAGTTTCCAATAAGTTCCTTAAAGTATGGTGAATTCCGCTGATGAGGTAAATGGTTCTCTCATTTATAGCAAAAAAGAGTAACAATTGAATTGTATCGGCCAGACTTTATTTTTTTTTTTTTGCTTAAAATGTAAGCCACCACAATGTAAACATTTAACGTTCATTTGTCAAGGTTAGATGTATCCCACACGATGGTTGCCACTCTGTAATCTTCAAATGATACATTGGGAGATTGATGCAAGCGGCCACGTTCGTGTTTCCTCCAGCCACTCACAGTCTTCGTCTTACTGGTAGCATATTATTTTAAATTTATATGAATTACAAAAGTTAACAAAACAACAGAAAACACTACAACGGAATTGTTGTACACATTGTAAATTACATGATATTGTGATGTAACTGCACTGGAAATAATCACTTTCAAACATTTCATCACACCAAACTGTAACCAAAACAACACGATAATTCAGTAAAATATGATGTAAGGTAAATACATTCAACTATTTACAAACAATTTGTTGTCAAGTCTTGATAGGAAACTCTTTATTTAAGAAACAGATATAGTTAACAGATGTTAAGATAAAAATATAGAATTCCGGCTTTGCTCTGGAATAAATAAGTTCC